AAAAAAAGTAGATCATAACCATATTTATGATAATTTTCCAGGCAAATTTGTCTGAAAAAGCCTACAGTTTAAGGGATAATTTAATGTGCCAATAGATTGTTGATGCTTGGGAAGATATTCCTACTGAAATAGTTATTAAATCCTTCAAAAAATATGGCATCTCAAATAAACTTGATGGAAGTGAGAATTATTTTATATATAAAGAAGAAAAGAATGATAAGCCCAAAGAACCATTTGTTGTTTTATCAGATGATTTAGAAAATGATCAAGAAAATGCTTAATAGGTTTAATATTCAATTGCATAGTTAAGTTTTTTTGCGAAGCTGTTTTAGATATTAGAGTAAATTTCTAATTGCTATTGTTTTATAAATTCTTATTTCTTGTATGTGTTTAGTGCAGCATTAAATTATTAATAGCATAATAATTATGTATGTACATAAATAGTTATGCATGTAGTTGATACTATAAGTGTGCTTATTTACAAAACACAGATTTTTATTATAAATATGCTTATTTACCATATATGCTTATTTTTCATACTTTACGATAATTTTAATTTATTTAATTGTCCAAAATTATCTAAAGTGTCCAAACTTACTGTCCACAACTGTCCCATGACAACACTACCTTCTAGCAAGCAGTTGATTAAATATATTGGTGCTGCTGTTCCTTCTCCTAGCAGACCTGTAAAGTTTCTTCCTTTTAGTATTTCTTTTCCTTATAAGATTTGGTTTAGTCTGTTGTTTAGAACTCTGACTACTGTTTTGCGAAATATCTCTAGTAGCAAGATTAGTCTCATATTGTTTAGATTATAATACCAGTCTTTTTTTTTTGGATATTGGGTAGAGTATACCTAGCTTTCACTTTTTAGATATATATTTTTCTGCTAAGCAGCTACTTGCTAAACTTCTAAAACCTTTTTTTTTTTCTTTCTGTCTTCTTAATTAGGAGGTAAGAAATTCTTATAGGCTCTAGTGCTGACTTGTTTTTCATATATCTTAGGGCTTCTTCCTATTCTTCTTTTGTGACCTTCTGCTTCAGGTTTTTGTAGACCTTTATATTGATTTTCTCAATTAGTTAGTAGATTTCTTTTCAGCTTTTGCTTATCTTTCTAGAGTTTATCTTTCTTTTTCTAAATTGTCTCTTGAAGTGTGTTTTTATTTCTTCTAGTATTTCTTTTTTCTCTATTAAGAGTTTTATTTTTTTATTTTTTTCTTTAAGTACATCAGCAAAAAAATAGACTGTTATATATCGATTACTAACTGGGTGGATATATATCGATGCTAATCACCCCTGCCGATTTCTATCGATTGTAATTACAATCGATATAAATCTAATTTGATTACAATCGATATATATCCAGTTCGATAGCAATCGATATATATCCAATTCGATTACAATCGATATATATCCAATTCGATAGAAAATAGCAGGAGTGATTAGCATCGATATATATTCACTCGGTTAGTAATCGATAAAATTCGATAGTAATCGATATATATCGATAGTAATCGATATATATCAATAGTAATCGATATATATCGATAGTAACCAATAAATTTTCAATTAGGTCGTAATCAATATACATTCAATTCAATAATCATTTATAAATTATTCAATAGCAATCTTTATTTAATTGAAAAAGCTGTCAAAATAAAATTTATTAAAAGCAATTATAAATAATATTTATTATATTTGTAATACAAAGCAATACAAATAGAATTATACATTAAATATCAACTATTTTCAACTAATCCAAAAAAAAACCAGAAAACTATTTGAATTACTGCACTATTAATTAGCCCCAAATAATGCATTCTGTTCTTTTTGTAAAAGCAACCCTGAAGAAATTTGAGAAAAAGACTCATAATCAGGTGTGGCTTGCCTTGATTGTTTACTATTGGGAGGACATGCTGCAAGTTTATCATCTATGATTAATTCTGTAGAATTATAACTAGGGCCATCTTGATTAAAATTATTCTATTTGAATAGAATAAATAATTAATATTAATGCTACTTTCGTAATAAAATGATTGATTACTAATGCTTACCAAATATTTGTCAATACGACGCAAAATCTGATCTTCTTTACATAAAATATTTTTTAATCGTGAGTTTAGAAGAATATTGCATACTGCTAGTGTGAACGCATAATGATAGTTAGTCAAATCTGGGATAGCGATCACGCTGAAAGCCATTCTTGCAATAATACTTATCCAAAGGAGATCTTCTTTGTTTTGCTTAAAAAGAGCGTGGTAGCAGGCTTGGACTTGTGAGCTATTCTTCCATGTAACTATATCACCAGAAGATATATTACTCTTTAGTGGTGGTAGCTTTTCACGGCCGAATACCTTTCAAATAGCAGAGCGAACGTTTTGTAACACCGAACTACAATGGTTCTTCATTTTCTGCAAAAGCTGTTAAAAGATAATTAAATAATTAATTAAAATTAATGATTAAAATACAAATACGTAAATGATTAAAATACAAATATGTAAACGATTAATAATGATTAATAACGATTAATAACGATTAATAATGATTAAAATACAAATATAAGAAATTATAATGATTAAATAAAAATTATATACCAAACTGCACCAGCCACTATGAAATCTATTAGTGAATTCATTTTCACTAATGCTAGACATAAACTCAGAAAAGTTGTTATTTAAGTACTTTCTGAGGGCTTCTTTTAATACAACTTGAGTAGGATATACATACTGTGGAAAAAGATATTTTACAACATTAGTAAATATATTCTACACAAAATTTTAATATATAATTTTAATATACGTTCTACATACTCTATATTATACATAAACCTGGTTAAATCGACACTTTAAAAAAAAATAAAAAATCGTTATATATCAAAATATCGGTTTAAGCTAAAGCATTCTCATCTTAAATATAAAGGTTCAAACTATCATTATAATTCTTGTATATCCAGATGTTGGTATAACCAGAGTGGTGTTTGTTGGCAGAAAACTTATATCTAGCACTTTTGGAAAGAGATCTTTTTCTTGGTCTACCCTTTGTCGTCGTACTTCATTCTTAACTTCTTGAACATCTTCGCTTAATTTTTTGATAAGAAGGTAGAGTTGCTGGTTTTGTATAAAAAGTCGCTCGTAGATTTGTTGACGAAAACCAGAACGCACTTAGAGTTTCATTTAAATATAAAAAAAAAAAAAAAAATCAAAAAAAAAAAAAGTTTAGATATCTGAAAAATCAAAAAAAAAATATTGATTTATATACCATGATCATGATGATCATCACAAACATCACGTGATTGGTTCTGATTAGAGGTTTAAAGATCGTCAACGTTACTATAATCATTATAACGATCCTGATTGGAGGGTTAGTGATTATAATCACATGATCTGGACTATGTTCTTTTGGGTTGTGGTGATAATGATCGATTTTGTTCATTAGAAGGTATTGAGTGATGTGAATGATATAAATAATATTCGTTATAAGATGATAGTTGTTGAGAATATTGTGAGTGGATTGGGTGGCTTGATACGATTGAGAATATTGTAAGAGAGGTGTTTGTCATGAGTGAGATGATTATTAGAATTGGGTGGCTTAATGCAATTGAGAATGTTGTAAGGGGGGTGTTTGTCATGAGTAAGATGATTGTCAGGTTGATACGATTGAGAATGTTGTAAGGGAAGTGTTTGTCAGGATTGGGTGATTTGTCAGAATTGGGTTGCTTGATGTGATTGAGAATGTTGTAAGAGAGGTGTTTGTCGAGATTGGGTAGCTTGATATGATTGATTTCGATTTTTTTCTTTTCCACTCATTCTTGCAAATATTTTTTGTGCACTTTTAATACTTTTAATTGATAAATCCAAATCATTGTCATCATCATTATAAATATTATATGGTTGGTGTAGATCAGCATAATTTTGAATTGGTTGGTATAGGGTGATATTTTGAGATGAATAGATGGGAATCGATCGTAATCGAGTTGTACTGATATATTTAGTAGGATAAGGAAAAGGTAAGTTACCAGATAAATTGGTGATAGAAGGCAAGTTAATGACAGGAGTTAAGTAGTTGAAAGGAGGTAGGTTGTTGATAGAAGGTAAATTGTTGATGGGAGATAAGTTATTAGTAGAAGTGTTGCCAATAGAAGAAGTATTAGAAGTGGACCAATATTACCGAACCGTTTTTCAAATTTCTTTTTTTGGAAATTTCCGGGATTTTCTTGTTGATCGACAAAATCAGCCAATAAAAATTAGTACTACATAAAATGTAGAATTTAACTGTATATGAGATCACTATCTTTGAAAATTCACTGTATATGACCTTTCGAGACTGATTTACAGCTCTTTTCGTTAACAGAGATTCATCTTATTATTAAATTATATAAAGGCAAAGAAATTCACATTATTTATTTCGAAGATTTATAAAATCAAATTTTTTCAAAATTTTAACGTTAATGTTTAAACTTTAGCGATATTAATTTATTATTACATATAATTAAAAAAGCATTAATTTGACATAAGCTACATTTTTTTTTACACACAATGCATATGATAGTAATACAATGATTATAATATAGCACACCCTATAGAAATACTTTGCGACATTCTATTTATACTAAATAAATTTAGCTTTTGTAGGATACCTTCCATTTTTGTTTGGTTTCTTGTTCTAATGGAAGAATATTAGCATTGGAAGTTGTGTGTCTATGAGGATTCATATCTTTATAAATTATGTTCACTAAATTCTGCATTTCTTTGAATGAGTTCGAAGTAACAAGGCTAAGAAGGTGAGTCAGTAGTGTATATTGATCACTTTCATTATATTGTTCTTTTATTGACGGGTTCTTGGATTTAATTAGGTTTTGTAAGAACAATGAATTTTCCTGCAAAGTTTGGAGATTTCTCAAAATAGATTCTAAGAATTCTTTAAACTCTTGTTTGTAGATAGCAGTTATATTTAAGGTATCAATGTTGATTTTGTTAGATCTTGGTTCATTCAGTACAGGCACATTAGATGGCGACATTACTAAAGAAGAGTTGATTCCAAGAATATGTTCTATGTGATTAAAAATTTCCTTAGATGAGGTAGTTATTCGACTATTGTCATTAATGTTATGGTCATTGCTTTCATTATCTGTGTCCTCATCGCTCTTATTACTAATATCATCTTCGTTCTCAGAACCTACTAGTACTTCCGACTTATCATCATATTGACTATGATAAATATTTTGAGCTTCTTGATAAGTCAGAAAAATCATTTTAGGTAAATGTTTATTTGGCTCTTGTTTACGAAGTTTATTAATATAAAGGGCTGCGGCACGAAGGTGCTTATATATAATACCTGTTTAAAGAAAGTTAAAACATTGGCAGCAAATATCTGCTGGCTGTCTATACACGCATGTTGTATAAACAAACCCTGGGGTAGTTTCAGATTCAACTTTGACATAGATCTTTCTACTTATTTCTTCAACCTTATATTTAATTACTTTCTCCATTTCAAGTAGTCTTCTTGCTGATTCATCATGCTTTGTGCTTGGAGATAAATGTGCAACTTGCAAAAATTCTTGCATTAGAATTTTATGGTCTGATGGGTTCATTATGTTAAGCTCTTTCCTTCGTTCCTCTTTTTCACGTTCAAGGTTCTTAGCAAGATTTCGTAATGTCAAAATATTTGGTATAACTTCATACACAAGTG